CGAAAGTTCCTCCTTACTTACGAAGTCCAACCATATTAGTAATTGGGATTGATGGTTGGCTTTCAACCTCCTTACTCTTTTCATACAAAAATAGTGGCCTACGCCTATTACTCCTTCTCTTTTGAAGGTATCCCAGAAAAATAAATCCTCTAGGAAAAGAGAAGTATCTAAGTCCGTCGAATATATATTTTTTAATCTCCTCTCTAAATACTTCTTTACGTATACTTAGTACTGCCGGCTCGATGTGACAGCACTCGATTCACAACAGGCTACAGTCGGTTGGAAGATTTAAACGCGCTTCATCTAGTTTTGCATCTTTTTCCAAGATTAATACATAGTGACTTAAGACTGAAAACGCTACTAAATATACAGTAACATCTCCTCTATACATTGTCACAGATCTCATGATCTCATCTACCCTGATTCAGAAACTACAGGCAGTCTACGGAGACCCGTCCGTCGGAAAAACGTTACCCCTGTGAAGCCAAAAAAGAAACTTGATTTATAGTTAGTTCTCAAGTAAGCTGAATAACGTGGCAGTGTTTATTTTATTATACACACTGTTTCGTGAGTGTGACGCGGATCATTCAATGCATTCTAAGCATTTTTTTATCGTGGCTGGCAGAAACATGTGCCAAATTACGTTCTCTTCACGATATGAGAAAATCTGTTCTTTTAACGGTACTAGGTAGGTTGTCAGTTTTTTCCTGGCCCTTTTAGACAGAATATCAAGGATCGCTCTTATTTTGGACAACGCCAGTTGGCATGAGGAACAGACTACTGAATCTAAGCTACCAAAAGGAGGATCACGAAAATAAATTTTGCATGACTGGCCAAAGATGGTCTGTCTTAGTCTGATCAGGTGCCTACATCATTTACTATTAAAATTGTTAGATTATCTCTTATGCACTGCCGGCTTGGACTGCTGGACTTAAAAAATTATATACGTGAATATAACACAAATCTTCGTTTAGTTATTGTTCATAATTAAATTTTGAAATATATGGCTGCTGTTGGACTGGTTGTCATGGATATTATGAACATGCGAAAAAATACGAACAGACTTTTAAATAAGCAGATGATTGGATGAAGAATGGGTCGGAGCCAGAAACAGGTGATGAGGAGGAGGAGCAGGTGAATGATAATGAAGAAGAACAGAGTGAAGACGAGACTAGTATCTAGTAGTCCTTGTGACCCCTCAGTTCAATATAATCGTACATAAAGATTCAGTTAAGAAACAGTGTGGCATAATAAAATAAGTATTGTCACATTATTCAGCTCACTTGGAAACATATAAATCAAGTTCTTTTTAGGTTTCCAGGCTTAACGTTTATTCGGCGGACAGGTCTCCGGAGAATCCGTGCAGTTCCTGAACCATAGTAGATGGAGTCCTGAGACTTGTGCTAATGTAAAGCGGATATGTTGCTGTAGCATTTTCAAGCCTAGGTAGTCACTATGTATATTTTTATCGCTCACTTTATGTCGCCCTGAAAAACTGTTTGATCATGTAGTCAGAAGTGTTTTTGAATAGAGTTTAAACTTGACAGGTTCCTAGATAATCGAGATCTTCGAAAACCTTTGCGAGAAGACAAAGGATGATTCCATTGTGTTTTCTCAGTCCAGATATACAGAACTTCACATGCTCTTTCATCTGATACCATGCTCAAGATTCTACGTTAAGGAATGCGATCCTAAGCGGTTTGACAAGTTAGAAGACATTGAGAGAAAATATACGAAAAATGTATTTTGCCGCTTTGAGAGTATAACAACTATAATGTTATAACACGCTCAGGTTTTTAGATTCGTATGGTACACAGCGGTAGATCTTTGTTGAAAGCTTCGTTATTTCATAGATCTATATGCTGCGGTGTCTGTTTGCTATATTTTGAAACATAGTCATATTTAGTGAGAAAAACTAGTATCCTTACTTTTCTCACACATTACCGGACAGTTTGCAACTATAGGGGGCTGGACTAAAAGACCAATTTTACTAGCTGCGTCGTATTATTTTAATTTTGAATTTGGCTGAGTCTAATCTATGTGTTTTAGTTTGTGGGCAGAGATGCAGCCTTATCGCAACTTGTTCTTTTACACGCACAACTGTTTGCATGATCAATAGCTAGCCTGTTTTCAGAACAAATTAGCATTTACTCACAAATTTTTTAGTTCCGTGTGATTTAATGATGCAACGTCTGATGGTTAAACCGTATTATGATCGTGAGACTCCGTCCGGCCGATATGGTGTACGTAATGTTATTGATTCAGTTTATCATAAATCCGGTGATGGTCTACGCGATTTTTATAAAGGTTACTTAATTACATTAGCAATTAATGTACCATTTTCATCGATTATATGGACATTGTATTGGCGTATACAACATCATTTAGAAATAATATTAACACGAAAATTTGATTATATAACGTCGCCTCTATCTGATAAGAAAGTTTCAAATCGATTAGGAGTGCGAAATCAATCAATATGATACGTATTACGATATACAAACGGCTTGATGCAAACGACGGGAGTCACTTCCTTTCGTAGAGTTTGATGAGCTGAATCAAATGGTAAAATAAGAACGTAGGTCCTATCTATTGCACGATAACACATTATAGTCGTTATACTCTGAAAGCGGCAAAATACATTTTTCGTATATTTTCTCTCAATGTCTTCTAACTTGTCAAACCGCTTAGGATCGCGTTCCTTAACGTAGAATCTTGAGCATGGCATCAGATGAAAGAGCATGTGAAGTTGTGAAAACTTTTTAATGTACTTGACGATAAGAAGTTTTCTATGAGATATTTAGCATCACCTTTTCAAAGGCTTAGCGTTCGGATATTATTTTCCTTTATTAAAATGATACGAAATTTGATGTGCTCTTTTATTTGACACTAAGATCGAAATTCTAAGTTTAGCAATGACTTCAGCAATATGAAACGTACTATCATTGCATCAGTAATCGACATAAGCGACGAGAATTACCTCATTTTATAGATCTCGACATGTTGAATATCTAATGGTGAAAACCACAGGTCTTTAGCTTTGTAGGAAAAAAGGTTATAGTGATTTTACTCTTTCAGCGGAAAAGTGCATCGGTCGTTCGCCTGACTTGTCAAACGTCTCCTAACTATATTCTCTAACGGAGACCATTGAGATTGGTCTTAAGTGAAAGAGTGCATCGAACTCTATATCTGGATCTTGAGTTAACGGTGTTAAAGCCTCGGCTTCTACAAAACTTAACGGGCTTAGAATACAGTCTAAAAGTTTTTCAACCACTTCCGATGACAGAGTAAAATGGCTACAACTTTTTTTCCTACAAAGTTAAAGACCTGTGGTTTTCACCATTAGATATTCAACATGTCGAGATCTACAAAATGAGGTAAGTATCTTCGCTTGTGCCAACAGTTTTGCATATCGTGATAGGTTTCATATGGATTGACTCCAACGCGATCAAGAGAAGCTTTACAACTCCAGTGGAATCGTTAAAAACGCGAAAAATCAGATTTTTTCGCTACTCGAACAATAAGTTGCCTATAACTGTTTTCGGCAACTCCTTCAGAAGAAGGGAGTTAGATACTTCTCTTTTGCTAGAGGATTTATTTTTCTGGGATATCTTCAAAAGAGAAGGAGTAATAGGCGTAGGCCACTATTTTTGTATGAAAAGAGTAAGGAGGTTGAAAGCCAACCATCAATCCCAATTACTAATATGGTTGGACTTCGTAAGTAAGGAGGAACTTTCG